GACATGATACAGTGCATTCCCAACAGTACTGCAAATGGCACCTGTTATAAGACAACAGATAGGTTAGGGAATAGAAAGTACAGTCAAACTGCTTATTAATGTGAAGCTGAATAAATAGCATTCTGTTGACTTTGTATGTTCATATTTATTAACTATGCTTTGTATATATATATATATATATATATGTATAGATATACATACCCACACGTGTGTGTGCATGTGTGTGTGTATTGTATATACTACATACTTGTCTCTCCCATTAGATTATAATATTTCTATGAGCAGGGCAGATTTTATTCTTGGTGCTTGTATCTCCCGTGCCTGGCACATAGTAGGTGCTTAATAAATATGTGTTGACTGATTGACTTAAATAAAGGTAGTCCCGTTGGAAAGACCTTGTCTAATATCTCAAGAAATGGGCTTCTGGTATGAGGTGGGATGGCAACGTGTAGAGTATATGTCTTTTCTATGTGGATTACAGTATACAAGACTACTGGGGCATGTGTGTGTTTGGAGTTTTCAGTGTTTGTCTGCCCATGAGGAGTAAAGCAACCTCCGTGTTGGGAGATTGTATTAGGTTGAAGGTTTCTGTCAGGCTGTGTCTCATGTGTGGAGCAGAATGATGATGAGATGGAGACAGGTGGCAGCTATACTGAAAAGCAGGGGAAATGCTAAGGGCACTGTATGATGATAGAAGAGAAAAGAGAGAAATGAGGGCCTTTCCCTTCTCATCTCATTTCTGCTGTTGTGGCTTGGCTTATAAGTAGCTGAGTTTTCAACACAATCCTCCTTTCGTAAAATCAGAGCTCTAGAGCTGAAAGGGACCTAAGCAGCTGCCATCTAGTCCAGCCCTATCATCTGACTGATGAACAACCTGTAGCCCCAGGGTTGTTATTTACAAGCAAGTGGCAACACTGGGATTTGAACCTGGGTCCTGTGACTGCCAATTCAGCATTCTATTTATTAAGCTTCTACTCAATACTAGGCATTATGCCAGGTACTGGAAATTCAAATATGAAAAATGACCCCTTCTCTGCTCTCAGAGAGTGAATAGGAGGATTAAACACCTATACAAATAAGGGAGAACATGAAGGAGGCTGCAAGTCATTCCTGAGAAAATCATGAATTTAACAGGCTCTAAGTATTAGGCATTGAGCTGGCTGCTAGAAATTTATTTACTTTTTTTTTTAAGGCAATTGGGGGTACTAGAAATTTAAAGCTAAACCATGACATAATCTCCACACTTAGGGAGTGGGCACGGACTGAAGGTGATTAAGTGTGCTGCAACGGTGAGTGTGGATAAATTACAAGTAATTCCTCAAGGGATCAAGAAAGCATAGGAGCTTACCCTGAACTGTCACTGTTTTGGATATGGAAAAAAAATCCATACTAACAAGCATTTTAATTGCACTTTCTACTTGCTAAGCTATCTGCTGTCTTGCAGCAGGTGTCATTTGCAATATGTTTGGGACACACCCCATCATTTCTATCCCCCTTAAGGACTCTCAATTCTCTCAATTATGCTTTGATCCCTAGAATCTTGAACTTCTTCACTGGCTTCCCTTCTGTCGGTACTCCACATGTCTCTAAAGTCTTTGAAGGCATATACTATAAAAGAGTCAAAGACAGAGGGAAAGGACCCGTATGTTCAAAAATATTTATATAGCGCTCTGTGAGGCAGCAAAGAAGTAGGTGTTCATTAATTGGGGAATGGCTGAACAAATTATGGTAGATGAATGTAAAGGAATATTATCACAACCTAAGAAATGACAAATATGAAAAATTCTGAGAATCAAGGGAAGACTTACATGATATAATGAAAAAGTGAAATGAGCAGAACCAGGGATACAATTTATACAATGACTACAACAATGTAAAGGAAAACAATTCTGGTAGACTTCTGAATTCTAATCAAAGTAGTGAGTGACTAATCACAACTTCAGAAGACTGTTGTTGAAGAAAATACAGAAGACAAAAAGGAATTCAGAAGGGGACACGAGTAGGGCAATTTTGTCACTACCTTGTTAAACTTATTAGAAATAAAGAGAAATTCATGGTTTCATAACAAATACTCTTTTTGTTCTTTGTATATTGAAACATCCAAGCTTCTTGGAAAAGATGAGGAACAGGGGCAGAGACTGGAACTGGGATTTCACTGATAACAAGGAACTCCCATTTGGGCAAACTCCTTCTACTGATGTAGTTTGGAACAACTCAGAGACCTAGCATTAAGAGGTTAAATGATTTGTCAAGAGTCACATAGCCATGGGTAGCTAAGTGGCGCAGTGGATAGAGGTCCGGCCTTGGAGTCAGGAGGACCTGAGTTCAAATCCAGCCTCAGACACTTGGTACTAGCTATGTGATCCTGGGGCAAGTCACTTAACCTCAAATGCCTCACCAAAAAAAAAAAGTCACAAAGCCAGTATGTGTCAGAAGCAAGACTTGAAGCCAGGTTTTTCTTGCTTCAAGACCAGCTTTCTGTCCAGTAGATCAAAGATGTCAAACACAAAAAGAAACCAATCCCTGCATGTTGACTTAGAAAATCACAAATTAACATTATATATGTTTTAATACATTTTCATTTATTTTGTTAAATATTTCCCAATTACAATTTAATCGTGTTCTGGCTACTCTCAAGAGTTTTGTGGTTGTATGTTGCAGGCCAGGAATTTGATATTTCTGCCCTGTATCACACTATCTTTCTAAAGGTACAAAAGAAGATATATATACATATATATGTATATATGTGTATGTGAATATACATATATATGTATATATTAGATATGGCCAATGTGTTGACTTTTTGTTCCTTCTATTTGTGCAAGAAAGAGTTAGTGGATAGTAATAGAGATGCAAAAAAAAAATCAAAAAAAGAATCTGGGATTTACTCTCCCATATCCACATTCAGTATCAGTGGGAAGAGTTGGTGCATACTGCAAGTAATCTAGTAGGGAAGCACACACATAAAAAACACTCATACCTGTGGCACTCAGGCAGCCCAACATCCTTTCCTTTCTTGTGGTCATGCTTCTCCCACTGGACATAGCATCTCCACCGGATAGGATGCTGAGCTGGGTTTTGTGCCTGTCTCTCAAGAGCTCAACTCCTAATGACCAGATATGACTCTCTTCTCAACTCACAAGTCCATTCATTCCTCAGAGCTCTCTTCTCCACTGACTACGCCCTACAGAGTATATCTTGCTTTTTGAAGAGCTAACCAGCAGCATGGCCACCAGGACCAACGGCTAGCCTCCCTCTAGTGCTGCTGCTTGACAGAACTTTTTCACATTTCAATGTGAAACGGGGATAGAGACTCTTCTTTGCTCTCCTTTTTAAGGCTTCAACACTTCTTTGTCTCTGTTATCTGCCCCTTAACATCTGTAATTTCATCAACTGGGCTAGGGGAAATGAGTTGATCAAAACATGTTGGATAGAGAGTACCAATTTTGGAGTCAGGAAGACATGAATTCAAATCATGCTTCAGATACTTACTAGTTATGTGACCCTGGGTAAGTCACTCAACCTCTTTGTGCCTCAGTTTTCTCATCTGTAAAATGAGTATGATAATAGTACCTACCTCACAAGGTTATGAGAATCAAATGAGATTATTATATATGTGTGAATATACATATGTGTATATATATATACATACATACATGTATATATAATGTTTTGCAAACTATATAAATGTTAGCTATTATTATTTTTATCCTTGGCCCCCTACTACAAAAGAAAAAAAAATTTAATTTCTTTTAGCCCACTGCTGAATTTCTTTCAGGTCCTAGCCAAATTGTACTGAGAGGTGGCAGATAGTCTAACTTGATTTTATATGGATTACCTTTTTTTTCTAGACTTTGGCAAGTCATGGCCTTAGGAATAATAACATTTATTCTGCATACCTATTCACTCTTCTAAAAAAATTCCTGGAAGGAAAATGATGGGCACAATTCACACTACCTTAGAAACATACTTCTTTAGGAACAAGATGAAATAGCTATTTGTTTTCTGTTTCTATAAAAATAGATCAATTTGTTCATTCAGAGAGATTGTGGGCCAACCATAAAACCAGTTCTGAAAACAAAAAACAAAAATCATCACCACTATTAAACCCTTCTGATCAATAAAGAAATATTCAATATTTTCCATGAAAATACCTCAATATTTCATGCTGCAGACCACTAATTCTCAAATATTTTTATCATTCAACTCCATACTCTCCTCTACTCTATTTTCTCAAAAAGGGTTCTGTGTCCTAAGGGAGGATTTCTTATAATCCAACTCCAATGAATGACATCAAATCAAAAAAGTACTGTTTATAAACCATTCTCTATGCTGATTCTAAACTAAAGAGATTTTTGCAATCTTTAAGCTCCCTCTTGGTATGTGGGCACCTTTGAAAACTAAACACTCTCCTTTAAAGTCACTGGAATATTTGGGGGAGGGATAGAGCATATCCCAAAAATCTTAGTGCAATTTAAACATTAAAACTGTAAAACTTTTGGGACACCCCATATACAGCTATCAATGAAAAATCCAAATTATCCACGTCCAAAAGTTCTCTTGTGCGTTTGTTTTTGACAGTTCAGAAAAGAGTCTGAAGGAAGAGGACACTAACCTAGAAAAACACCCTTCCTCTGAAGATCTCTCATCAACTTTTCCATTGCTTGTCTTAGCCTTCCTAGATGAATGTCTCATTCCCTCCCATCTCCCCACAGAACCATATTCCTCTTTCCAATCTTCCTTGGTTCCTAGTAGAATATGAGAAGTGGGGCCAGTAGACCTAAACCCCAGTCAGCACAGTGAATCCTCCACAGGAGTTTTGGGGTAGGGGATAGCTTTGGAATAGTGGCCTATTGGTCCAATGGGAGGAAAGGGGGAGGGAGATTAGAAACCTACAGAGAGAGTACAAATAAATCCAATAAAACAAAACAAAGTAATATTTTCTGGGACCTGAAGATTTGTGGTCAACAAGTTTAATTGTTCTAGGTAAAAGGACTTACTGGATATTGAGTTCTTTCACTTCAATTGGTGTGAAGCCCCATTCTGTTGCCAGTTTTTCTTGCTGGGATGCATGTTCCAAAAACACTATCTTTAAGGGAAGAAAAAAGAGTCACGAAGTTAATATACATATACACACACATACATACATACATACACATATATATTTGCTATTTATTATATGTCTTTTGAAATGAGAATTTAGTTTAGTGGAATTAAATTAATAAGCTAGTGACAACTGTCTAGGTAGATTTTTTTTAATAAATAAAAATGTATTTCAGTCATTCAGCTATATGTATATGTATATATATGTGTATATATATATACACATACACACACACACATATATATACACATACATACATACATACACACATACATACATACATACATACATACATACATACATACATACATATATATATATATATATATCAGTTACTATGTGCCAAGCACTGTTCTAAGAGCTGGGAACACAAATATAAGTATAAAGAAAAACAGTCCCGGTCTCCAGGAGTTTACATTATAGAGGGAAAGATACCATATAAAAGATGAAAAGTGGGAGGGGGAAGGAATGGGCAGGGACAAAGGTACCCCGACCTCCTGGCATGTCAGAGAAAGTCCTAGAGGGAGTCCCAAGTGCAGCTTGGAACCAGGAGAGACACGAGACATGGCTGGCCTGGATGCCTGCCTTAAATGGAGGTTCTGTGAAGAGTCAATCAATTGGTAAATATTTATTCAGAGGCACTGTGCTAGTAGCTGGGGACTCAAAAACAAAAACAAAAACAAATAATCTCTACTAACAATGTATTTACTTTCTAATGCAGACAGTAACTAAATATAAATATACAGAATAAATATAAAGTTAATAGATATATACATGCGTAGATGATGCAATAACAAAAATGCTGGGCCTAGAGTCAGGAAGACCCAACTTCCTGAGTTCAAATCTGACCTCAGACACTTACTAGCTGTGTGACTCTGGGCAACGTTTGCCTCAGTTTCCTCATCTGTAAAATGAGCTGGAGAAGGAAATGGCAAACCACTCCAGTATCTTTGCCAAGAAAACCCCAAATGGGGTCAGGAAGAGTCAGACGTGACTAAACAGGTGGTAGCTATGGATAATTATACTTCTGATAGTTATATCTTGGGTTTCCTAACCAGACTGCTAGCTGTTCAAAACACCTGAAAATCATAGTTCAAGTATTCTTTAGGAAAGGCCAATCAAACATTTAACAAATATTTACTGAAACAACACTGTTCCGTAGAAGGAGCCCTGGGTTAGAAGTCAAAGGTCCTGGGTTCATATACATTCATATAATGTTTTAAGAATTACAAAGATTCATTACCTCCTTTGATCCTCATAAGAACCCTTCAAGATAAGAACTATTATGTCCATTTTACAGATGAGGCTCAGAGAAGTTTCTCGCCTAGGGTCACTCAGCTAATATGTATCTGAAGCAGGATTTGATATGTAAGGGCAAGTGACCCCTTCTTCATGGGTTTTCTGCCATCAGAAAAATATTATTACATTTGGGAAACAAATGATAGTAAAATAGGGAGAAGCAACATGGCACTGTAAATAAAAAGCTGGCTTCTAAACCAGGAAGATCCAGGCTCAAGTCCTGTATCTGACATATCCCTGGGCAAATCATTTAGCTCCTCAGTGGTCTTGGCAATTCCATAAGACAGTAAGTTCCAGAGAAGATACTGAGTAGCATTGGTAGAATGAGTTTCCTCTTTTTGAGAATTCCCTACTTGATTCCAATCAATCAAGTATGTATTGACCACCTACTATGTGTCAGGTCTTGTACTTGGGGATGTAAGAACAAAGAATTAAATTATCCCTACTTGCAGTGAGCCTACATTCTAATGGAGGAGACAAACAGACACAGAAATATATGTACATATTTATTTGCATATATAGTTAATAAATAAAAATATATGGAGTACTTAAATACAAGTGGCAGTTGAAGGGAGGGGAAACAGGAAAGACTTTGGGTAGAAAATGGTGCCTGAAGTGTTTCTCAAAGAAAGACAAGAATAATATCAGGAAGAATTGAGGAAGTAATGCATTCTAGGCATGGGAGATGGCACAGGGCAAAGGTATGGAGAAGGAGGTTGCATGTCATGTTGCATAAGAAACAGTGAGAAGGCCAGATTGGCCAGATCAGAGTATGGAAGGAAGAGTAATGCATATACCCTTACAAACATGTAAACTTGCCATGACAGCAAACTAACAACACAACATGCCACACACAGTCCCACCCTTGAAGGCATAGTTCCTTCTCGGTCAGAGATGCATGAAGCATGTATTTAGACAGTTAAGTTATTCCTTTAGTCAAACACATCCATGCGTTCTAAAACTTGAAATTAAGAATACTTGGGATGAGCAATAATGAAAATGTCAGAAATCCTAATGCCAAAAATGAATGAGAAATGGCTGTCGGCTAATGAATGGGATCTTTGGAAGATGAATCCTTGAAATACCAGATGGAAGATTTGGGCAACTAGCTTGTTGCTAAGGAACAGTATACAGCCATCCTCAAACCATAGCTCCACTGCTGAAATAGTTCGACTGTCGAATCCATCCCAAGAAAGTTGCCAGAGGAGTCCAAGAAGGTAAGACCAGAAGGATTAGTGAGCACTGCACAAGAATGAAAAATGCCACAGTATACCACTTCACATCAAATGATTTAAGACAAAACTGATCCTAGACAGATTTAGAGCTCAAAGAGACTTTGGAAATAATCTGTGCAGACCATCCACTGACTTGGAGTAATTCAATCCAGTAATTTAATAAGGATAAGTGTATACAAAAGAAGCATTAACCATTGCATTGTAACATGTGTTAAGAATACGAGGACAAAAATGATCGTTCCTGCCCTCAAGAAGCTTATGTTCAACTAGGGTGGAACAGCATATGACAGATAAGTAAATGGAAATATATATGTTTTAAAAATGTAACTATTAGGGAAAGCAAACACTAATAACTAGGGGAAACAGGGAAAGCACTTGAGCCGAGCTTTGAAGACAGCCAGGTTGGAGAGGCAGAAGTGGGAAGGGAAAACATTCTAAGCACTGGGAACAGCCCATGCAAAGGCATGATGGCAGGAAATGAACTGGTATATATCTGAGGAATACCAAGGAAGCCAGTTTGGATAGCCCATAGTGTGTGAAAAGGAGTAATGTACAAACATTCTGAATAGATATTCAGTGTAGTGGAGCTACGCTGAGGAGGGCTTTAAATTCTAAGCAGAGAAATTTGTATTTTATTTTCAAATTTTTTTTTTTTGGCTAGGCAATGGGGCTAAGTGACTTGCCCAGGATCACGCAGCTAATATAATAAGTGTTATGTGTCTGAGGCCAGATTTGAACTCAGGTCCTCCTGAATCCAGAGCCGGCACTCCATCCACTGTGCCACCTAGCTGCCGCTGAAATGTGTGTTTTATTCTACAGATAATGGGGAGCCACAGAAGTTTCTTGGGCAGGTGAGTGACACAGTCATAACTATGTTTGTGATTCTGTGATTAATTCTGATTTGGCAACTGGGTGGGGAATGGAATAGAGAAGACAGAAGCTAGAGTCTATCGCAGTAATCTAGGGGAGAGGTGTTGAGGGTTTGATTGTCACAATGCGATGGTGTGAATGGAGAGGAGATAGATGTGAGAGGGAGGAAGTAAAATTGCTAAGATTTGTCTAATGATTGGATGTGAACGATAAGGAACAGTGAAGTGTCACAGCTAACTCGAAGATTGTGAATCTGGGTTATTGGAAGAATAGTGATACCCTGACAAAAATAGAAAAATAAGGACAGGTAGATTTGGATGACTAAGAGGAAGGTACCAAGTTCTGGTTTGGACAAGTGAAAATTAAGATGCCTATGGAACAACCAGATGGAGATGTTGAGAAGGAGGTTGATTACATGGAAACAGAGAAAGACCAAGATTATCACAAAGCTAGAAGAAAAGAATATAAATGAGAAAGAGATACAGCACACAACTAAAGTAACTCTAACAGGAGCTATTGCTATTGATGCTAAAAATGAGAAATGGATGGAGGAAAGGACACTGACACCTACTATGAAAATTCCACACAGAAGTTTAACGGATTTAAATCAGCTGCTATTACAAGGAAACTAAAAATTTCTAAAGACCGCCTTCACAAAATGCAAAGAAAAGAGAACAAAACAAGAAATGATACACAATTATATATCTGAAAACGTTTAATTATTTGCTAATAGCAAACTCCTGAACAAAAGGTGTACACACTGACTCTGTCTAGCTCACCTAGAACTAAATCTTCCTTCTTGATTTTGTGACCTCTTTAGAATTTTGGGAAATTAATGTGATTTCTGTCTTTAAGTACATAGCTGTCAGTGTATATAGTGTTCTTTTGGTTCTGTTTTCTTTAATGAACAGTGTTTAAACGCAAGTTTTCTCTTGTGTTTTTGAATTTCTCATATTTCTTATTTATTGCAGCAAAACAATATTTTATTTTATTGATATGCCATAATTTGTCCAACCATTCTCAATTACTAGGCATCTAGTTTGTCGTGAGTGTTCTGCTATCATCGGTAAGGCTGCCCAGAATATTTTTGCATAGATAAGCCTTCTTTACCCTGCCTCCTCCTTTTCTTCCCCCAAGCTCAGCTTCTATGTCGAGTAATAGAACAACCAGGTTAAAACTTGTTAATATTAAACAAAAATTCTTACTCTACACATAGTTTTTCTGAAACGTTGAACCAATTCACAACCCCACAATGAGTATATTTTCATGGCTATTTTACCATAATCATACCAGAACTGAACTTGATCATATTTCATTATCTCTGAAAGTGGCAACAGGGCACAGTGAATGGAAAACCAGCCTCAAAGCCAGGAAGACATGCGTCCAAGTCCCACCTATAACACACTTGCTGTGTGACCCTAGGCAAGTCACTTAACCTCTCAGTACCCAAGGCAACTTGATAAGAGCAGATGCTGCTACTTATCTGCACTGGTACAGGGAGTTCCCTACATCACTGAAATCACAGGTACAGTGCCTGGTCCTTATCCCTTAATCATCTTTGTCAATTTCGCTGAAGGTAGA